AGCTTCCCAACTAGTTCGCCTGCTGGTGAACTAAGCCAAGCTGGCTTAGTTTGTCGGTAGGCGAACTAGCAGCTTCTCGGATAGTTCCCGGATAGTTCGCCAACTGGCGAGCTGGACCGGACCGGTTCGGTTCGCCGTACGTCGAACCGACCATCCCGAGCCTCGATCTCCCGTATCCCCGATTCGAAACTTACATCCTTCGACACGGTCGCGTTCTGAACCACGGTTGAAATGTCTCCCGCTTCGTGTCGATCCGACCTATCGTTCGAGTTTTATGATAAAAACCGTAAAACTCCGTTTTCTCGAAAAGAACTCGAAGGAATTGTATAAAACGGCAACGGTTAAACAAGACACCGAACATCGCCTAAACTATACGATTTATTCGAGGAATTTACTAAAAACGGCATCAAATCAGGAAACGATTCCGTACAAGGTCGAAAAACGGATTTATCGCAAAACGGCCCGGAAGGTCCTAAAACTCGATAAAAGCCCATCTCGCGATCTCAACAGAATCTAACCCGAAGATACGATAACGTTTTGACGGTTTACTCACAGAAGGAAAATAAATGTCAAGCTTGAAGATAAAAGGCAAGTTTGAAGATAAATAGAAGATTTCCGCGGAAGAAAAGGAAGGATCGAGAAAAATGGAAGATTCTCGATACACTCAAATCCGGGCAAAATGGAAAGATTGAATCGCCAAGGCGAGGAGTATATAAGCAAGAGGCATAGGGCAGAAGCACCACACACGAGTTTTCAGAGCTTTCACCACCAAACTTAGCATTTAGGCAATTTTCCGTTTTCGTTATCGAGCTGCGTCTCAACTAGGGTTTTAGTCTTAGATTGCTAGAACTAGGAATTTTGCCGACGGCTCACGCAGCAAAGGCAACTCTCGTTGTAACCGTTCTTACGCGAATTCGGAATAAGAATCCTTCTCGCTTTCAATCTCGTTTTTATTTTTATATCTTTCAATTTATTCATATTATTCGCGTTCTTGGTTACTTGTCGTTGGCTTTCGCAGAGATCCGGTTCCTCTGGAAAATTAGGGTTTTCCTAACTTTCCTTATTTTACGGAAATCGACAGGTGTGAATATCGGTTCCCACAGTTTGGCGCCAGAAGGAGGCGGGGGTCGGATTACTCTTACTCATAGCCGCAAAACGCTTGATCAAAATGATGTCTGGATATATGAAAGACAAAGTCGCAACTCGCTAAAACACGCTAGTAAAACAACTCCAGCAGCGACTACTCGTACAGCCAACACCCACGCAAACGCAGTAGTACTCAACAAAATCAAAAACCTAATCGCGACTCTTCGCCACGGAAAGAGCAACGAAACAAGCTCACGATTTCTATCTCAGATCACTAAGGGCAACGATAAAATCTATCAAACCCCATAGTGTTTTTATTATTTCCAAGTTGGACAAATCTCACGGGTTGAGCAAAAGACGTTTTCCGAGAACTTTTCGGAAAAATAAAACTTGCTCTCTCAGAAACCGCGGAACAAACCGTAAGTTACTCGCGAAATAAAACCTGGGTTACTCGCGGAAAAACCGTAGGTTATTCGCGGCAAAACCCTAGGTTGTTCGCGGAGAAAGCCCTAGGTTACTCGCGGAGAAAACCCTAGCTTTACTCGCGAAGACAAACCCTCGCAACACCGTGCAACATCTTCGAGCCCACAAACGTTCCGAACACGAAACGCGGCATATAAAATAAAAACCAACTTTCGGCACTGCGAGACGTCGCAAACACCCGAAGATTTCCGACACAAATACCTTCCTCGATAAAGTCATTTTCTTGGAAGACCTAACAGTCCGTTCGCGACTATAAAATACACAAAACTTCTTAACGTACGTATCCTTCGCGAAGGCCCAAACTACGTAAACATCTATCACTTAAAAATAGTTCGTTGCTGATCACAACGAACTCGCAACAGTCCTAAACAAACTTAAGTTATCTCGCAGAGATAGCTCTCGAACACCCGACCCAAGGGTAATAGCGCTATAAAAGAAATCCAAACTTTTGGTCAGCACTTCCGGCAACTTAGATTTTGTTCCCGGTGAGATGCTTGGTTCAAACCAGACGAATCGTATAAGCCGAGAACCTATCGCGAATTCTAAATAGGTATGGAATCAGGTTAAAATCGAAACAGGCAAAACGAAAGCCGACTAGTCATCGCATAGCCTCAATCCGAAAGTAAACCTAGGTCTTGCCCTAAACCCAGCACACTGGTCGCTAACGTCTCAAGGCATGAATTGAGATCCTAAAGGCATGTCTCTTCGTCTATATCTAAACGCTCACTCGATTTGCTAAACATCCTAAAACGAGCAAAAGAATAAGGCGATACACTAAGGGAAAGGAATGCGAGACGACAACTCGCGGACCTCTCTCAAGATCAACTCATATTCTTCCAGCTACATTTATACGAATAAAAACACGCTCTTAAAAACGCAAACTGATTTTTAATAAAGCCGCAAAAGCGGCAGGGACTCAGAGCCGCACACAGCCAGTCCGAAAACTATAACGGCCACGCTCGGCAAGACCAAACGGCCTACGAGGCTAGCCTTAAGGCCGGCAAACGTCTAGATGCCATCGACATCAATATGCTCGATAATTCCTACACGACATATAACTAGACCGTAAAGGTCTTGCTAGGAAACATGTCATACGAACCTAAACTCCAAAACGAACTAGGAAAGGCTTGATCCCCTCAAAAGGGTACGTAGGCAGCCTTCATAAGGCGCAGCCCTAATCTTAAACACATCCCGCTTCCTGGAGAATGGGAAGATCACTCTCAACGGACCTTTCCAACCATTAATTCCGCTTAATCTAACTAAAACTGGCTAACCACTCGCAAGAACCTTACACTACAAGCTCAAGATTCTAGCGAGCTGGGGGGCTAACTGTTGGTGTCAAAATCGGTCACGACGGAATCAATGGCTAAACATCTCCGCAAAAGTAAAAATAAAAATACGTTTTATAAGACTCGAGAGATAGTTTTATAAAACTTGAGAAATCGTTTTATAAGACTCGAGAAATCGTTTTATAAAACTTGAGAGATCGTTTTATAAAACTCTAGAATCATTTTATAAAACTCAAAAAATCATTTTATAAAACTCGAGAGATCGTTTTATAAAACTCGAGAAATCGTTTTATAAGACTCGAGAAATCGTTTTATAAAACTTGAGAGATCGTTTTATAAAACTTGGGAATCGTTTCATAAAACTCGAAGAATCGTTTTATAAAACTCGAGAATCGTTTTATAAAAACTCGAAAAAGCGTTTTATAAAACTCGAGAATCGTTTTATAAAACTCGAGAAATCGTTTTATAAAACTCGAAGAATCGTTTTATAAAACTGCGAAAAACCGAAACCGCCGTAAAACGCGAACTAGTCACGACTAGTTCGCCAGCAGGCGAACTAGGAGCCTCCCGACTAGTTCGCTTGCTGGCAAACTAAGCCAAGCTGGCTTAGTTCGCCAGCAGGAAAACTAGAAGCTTCCCGACTAGTTCGCCTGCTGGCGAACTAAGCCAAGCTGACTTAGTTCGCCAAAAGGCGAACTAGAAGCTTCCCAACTAGTTCGCCCTCTGGCGAACTATGCCAAGCTGGCTTAGTTCGTCGGTAGGCAAACTAGGAGCTTCTTGGATAGTTCCCGGATAGTTCGCCAACTGGCAAGCTCGACCGGACCGGCTCGGTTCACCGTACGTCGAACCGACCATCCCGAGCCTCGATCTCCCTTATCCCTGATTCGAAACTTACGTCCTTCGACACGGTCGCGTTCTGAACCACGGTTGAAATGTCTCCCGCTTCGTCTCGATCCGACCTATCGTTCGAGTTTTACGATAAAAACCGTAAAACTCCGTTTTCACGAAAAGAACTCGACGAAATTGTATAAAACGGCAACAGTTAAACAAGATACCAAACATCGCCTAAACTATACAATTTATTTGAGGAATTTACTAAAACGGCATCGAATCAGGAAATGATTCCGTACAAGGTCGAAAAACGGATTTATCGCAAAACGGCCCGGAAGGTCCTAAAACGCGATAAAAGCCCATCTCGCGATCTCAACAGAATCTAACCCGAAGATACGATAACGTTTTGACAGTTTTTTCGCAGAAGGAAAATAAATGTCAAGTTTGAAGATAAAAGGCAAGTTTGAAGATAAATAGAAGATTTCCGCAGAAGAAAAGGAAGGATCGAGAAAAATGGAAGATTCCCGATACACTCAAATCCGGGCAAAATGGAAAGATCGAATCACAAAGGCAAGGAGTATATAAGCAAGAGGCATAGGGTGGAAGCACCACACACGAGTTTTCAGAGCTTTCACCACCAAACTTAGCATTTAGGCAATTTTCCGTTTTCGTTATCGAGCTGCGTCTCAACTAGGGTTTTAGTCTTAGATTGCTAGAGCTAGGAATTTTGCCGATGGCTCACGCAGCTAAGGCAACTCTCGTTGTAACCGTTCTGACGCGAATTCGGAATAAGAATCCTTCTTGCTTTCAATCTCGTTTTTATTTTTATATCTTTCAATTTATTCATATTAATCGCGTTCTTGGTTACTTGTCGTTGGCTTTCGCAGAGATCCGGTTCCTATGGAAAATTAGGGTTTTCCTAACTTTCCTTATTTTACGGAAATCGACAGGTGTGAATTTCGGTTCCCACAAGAGTTAATATCAAAACCACTTGTAATCACAAACTCCACTCGAACTTTGAAAATGAACTCCAACAGCAAAAATAACAAGGGGGATTTATTCTCCAAGGTCGATCTAGTCACCACGCTCGCCCTAGTTGAGAAATTTCTCATGGACAGTAGGGGTATCATAACAGGCTACCCATGAACAGGCGTCGGAAACACCCATTTGGTAATAAGCAGCTCCGAGGAAATTGGCTTCTAATATAAACAAGATTTTCGACCAACTTTTTCCCTTAATCATCTCTTAAAATTAATCTTGAACACTCAGTTTCTTAACCTAATTTACGAACGATAATGAACAATTGCAGTCCAAATAGGTCCATTCAAAGTTAAACTTTTATTAAATACATTAATTTCAAGACCTCAAGAGAACAAACTCAAGGAGAAAAACAATAAACTCGCAACCATAACCAGTAATATTGGTCAAAATGAGACAAAAAACAAATTATTGTTTTAAAAACAAAAAGACATAAAAGGACGCAAGAAATATAGAAAAACAATAAAAAATTATTCAAATGCACTGAAAATCCGTTGGAAGCTCACAATGGTTGAGTGTGAAGCTGACTGCTACTGGAATGTTCAGGTTAACAAAGTTTCCGACATTAGCCCGAACTGCACTACAAAGACATGCGGCAGCGTTTGCGTCCACGATACCACTGAGAAGGGGACAACAAGGAGAAGATCCTGCTGGCAGAGAAACATCAACCACTCCATTCAACAAACTTGCACATACATTAACAACAAGTTGGTCTGGGGGACATTGAGCATTAACCATAGTGAAGAAGATGATGTTGAAGAGGAGTACAATGGCAATAGTTTTAGAAGCCATCTCGACAGAAGGAAAATGATAAATTTGTAGGAGAAAGATTGTTTGTTTGTTAGATTTTTTTTTTTTTGTGTAGGTTAACAAAATTTTATAGGGTTTATATAGAATTCAAGTTCATACTTCTAGATCTTATTTTATGTTAATGAATTGGAAGCGACTTAAAACATACAGCTAGTCATGTACATGTTATGCTATAAACAGAAATAATTTATGATATGTATAGCATATTCGCATGTCTATAACCTCAGATTTAACTATATACTTAAACAAATTTATGAACTCCAGCAAATTAAGATCATGGAAACCACGTATATAAACAAAATCATGGGATTTGTCAGGATGAGTAAGATGTTTTAGTCTAAAGATTTACATGATTTAATACCAAAAATTTAATTTATACTAATTGAACTTTTAAACTCCAGCAAATGAAGATCATGGAAACCACGTAAATAAAAAAGAAAAAATCTGAAAAATCATGTGTATAGATGACTTAGATAATTTAGTTGTTTGATTTACTATTTTTAATACTACAAAATTAATTATACACTAATAGAAATTTATGAACTCCAGCAAACCAAGATCATGGAAACCACGTATATAAACATAATATACAAGATCATCGTCTTTTTAGGATGACTTAGATGTTTTAGTTTTAGAATTAATGAATTCTCTTTGTTGTATTGCCATATAAACTTACAAGGTCTTTAAAAAGAGCTAGGAGTTACGATCCATGCTATAAAATATACAGATATAAGGTGTGATTGGCTATGTCTACACCAATCATGATTTTTATTTTTTCTAAAGCTCAAAGCCATTTTTTAATTTTTTAATTCTACAGCACTTCCTTAAATTCATGTTTATAATTACTCTGCAGAGACAAATACCTACAGCTCATATTTAAAGGCTTCTAAAAATTAAAAATCTAAAGCCAAAGCAAAAAAAATCACAGCAATATTTCTACAGCCAATATTTAGACGTAAAGAATTCTCTTTGTTGTATTGCCATATAATCTTACAAGGTCTTTAAAAAGAGCTAGGAGTTACGATCCTTGCTATAAAATATACAGATATAAACTAATAGGAAATTAAAAATACTATGCAGCAATCATATCTCAATAATATCCAATAATATCCCAACTCACTTCAATAATTCCTTTCAGTATGGTGAATGATAGTCCTCAGTTCACATCTTGGTTAGAAGATAACCGAGTTGTTTCCGACCTAGAGGCGGAAGAAAAGAACTTATTTTGTGAGTATCACCAGATGATAGGACACTCAAAACAAAAATTCCAGGATACTTGAGAGGCTCTTCTATAGGGAAT